AGGAAGCCCCATTTTCTGACCCGTCTGCCAATCCTTGACTTCTCCAGCACTGACGTAGCACCTGTTCCCTGTTCAGCCAAGAGCATCTTTCACCTCTAACCCACCCCTGTAATAGCTGATCCTTGATTAAAAATAAAAAATGTCACACAAAATGGTAGTGTTGATGTTTTGGTTTTGTCATTGGGGGAATCTCCAGGAACACACTCCCTTAATCCTCAGCCCACAGGTACATTAATTATTATTTGTTACTACTATTATAATGTCATAATATGGTAATATTTCTTCCTACAAAAAGTATCAGTTCCTGCCATCAGGAAATGCTGCATTTCTTCCCAGGGTTGCCTTTATTGATACCCCCCCCCCGGTTTTTTAAATTATTATTATTATTATTATTATTATTATTATTATTATTACTCAAAGGTGCTTGAAGTGTCTATCAAATGCATTAGGAAGGCTGTCTTAATCCTTCAACCTGTTTATCCATGTAGCCCACTGCTGCCTACACTGGCTGGCAGCAGCATTCTAGGGTTGTCTCAAGCAAAAAGAGCTTGGCACTCCCCCAGGTCTCTGGTCCTTTTAGCAGGGGGAGTGTCAAGCTCTTCTGCGTGCATAGCTAGAGGGTATTGGTGACTGTCTGGCATAGATGCTAGAATAATAGAATTGTAGAGTTGGAAGTTTGACCAAACTGCGGGAGGCAGTGGAAGACAGAAGTGCCTGGCATGCTCTGGTCCAGGGGGTCACGAAGAGTCGGACACGACTAAACGACTAAACAACAACAAGAGTTGGAAGGGACACCAAGGGTCATCTAGTTCAACCCCCAGCAATGCAGAAATCTCAGCTAAAGAGTTGTTTGAAGTGGAACTGTCTCAGTTGGGAGGTTATGGACTCTCCTTCCTTGGAGGTTTTTAAGCAGAGGTTGGGGTTGGGTGGCCATCAGTCATGGATGCTTTAGTTGTGATTCCTGCATTGCAGGGCATTGTACCAGATGACTCTTGGGGTCGTTCCAACACTACAATTCTTTGGTTCTATTATCAGTATGGGGGGTGGGGTGTTGAATGGGGGTGGCCGAATCAGGAGAGAAAAGGAAGTGTGGAAAAAGTACGTGTAGGGGAGAGTTGAGAAAATTGACAAGGAGGGTGGAGGAAAAAAAGGAGTAAGAGTAAGAATGGGGATGCAAAGCCAGTGTGCTGTAGTGGTTAAGAATGTTAGACTTGTAATCTGGTGAACCAGGTTTGCTTCCCCGCTCCTCCACATGCAGCTGCTGGGTGACCTTGGGCCAGTCACACTTCTCTGAAGTCTCTCAGCCCCACTCACCTCACAGAGTGTTTGTTGGGGGGGGGGAGGAAGGGGAAGGAGATTGTTAGCCGCTTTGAGACTCCTTCCGGTAGTGATAAAGCGGGGTATCAAATCCAAACTCTTCTTCTTCTTCAAAGTAAGTTGCAAAAAGGAGGGTGTAGGAGGCTTGGGGATAGGGTTGAAGATGAAAGCAGGGGCCTGAAAGGGCCTGAAAAACAGGAGATGGAATGAAGCTGAAAATGGGTGCAATGCAGAGCTGCAGAAAGAAGAGATCAGCAGCTCTGGAAATGAGACCTTCCTTCCAACTCACAGGCAAACTGGCCCCAAGTTGTTAAGGGCTTTATATTCTAACAGTAGCACCTTGAACCTAGCCTAGTAGCAGATTGACAACCAGTGCAGATTCCTGAGCACTGGTGTTCTATGCTGAGAAGGCCTCACTCCTATTAGCAATTGTGCTGCAGCACTGTTCACTAACTTCTGCTGCCGGTTCAAGCGCATTGCAGTAATGCAGCCTTGAAGTTACCAGTGCATGAACTGCCGTGGCCAACTTTTCCCAGTACGAACTTTTTCCTGGCTATATTCAATCATTTCAGTGGGTCTAAATGTGTAAATGCCACCCACGGTCTCCCATTATTTCAATATTGTTGCTCCCCCCCCCTTCCAAATAGGATGCTCCGCTCCTTTCCTGAGCAAAGTTCCCATGCCTTTCAGTTGATTAAAGCATAGCGGTGACAACCCTAAGGTTGCAGGTTCGATCCCTGAATGGGACAGCTGCATATTCCTGCATTGCAGGGGGTTGGACTAATTCAGGGGTCAGCAAACCTTTTCAGCAGGGGGCTGGTCCACTGTCCCTCAGACCTTGTGGGAGGCCGGATTATTTTTTATTATTATTATTTTGTATTTTAATATTCTGTTAGAAGCCACCCAGAGTAGCTGGGGAAACCCAGCCAGATTGGTGGGGTAGTTAGATAGATAATTTATTACAGTCAAAGACCAGCTCACATAACATAACACGATAAAACAGCGTTCATAAAGATAAAATATGCAATCAGAGCAGATTGCAGCAATAGCTCATGAGTTAAAATTGATATATATACTTATACACGTACAACGGAGATTTCGGCTACCATAAAAATTGACCCTGAGGCAACTTCAGCATTTCCCTAGTGAGCTATTATATTCTAGAGGATGATCTGTGCCTACAAATCTGGGCGCAGAATCTGGCTACCAGCCAGGTCGTCTTGTTATCTTTGCCTAAGAGGAGAGAATTAAGTTTAGACTTGTCTGAACGATTGGCGGGCCTCTTCAGCAAACGATCAATGGTGTCTCTACGAATCTCAACATAAAAACGACATCTAAAAAATATTTTTTCAGGGCTTCCTATTTCCCCTAAAGGGGTGGGTGGGGTATAAATAATAAATTATTATTATTAAATTATTATAAAAATGAACAAATTCCTATGCCCCACACATAACCCAGAGATGCATTTTAAATAAAAGGACACATTCTACTTATGCAAAAACACGCTGATTCCCGGACTATCAGCAGGCCAGATTTAGAAGGCGATTGGGCCGCATCCGGCCCCCGGGCCTTAGTTTGCGTACCCATGGACTAGGTGGTCCTCAGGGTCCCTTTACAATTCTATGAATCTATGAATCAACCTCTACCACTTTTCTTGCTCTGGGCACACATCAACTGGGAGGCAGTTGAGGTCCTTCAGGTTTTGCTGTTTGTTTTAAGAAGCCAGTAATTTGAAGGGGGCGTATTGTGTACATTTTCTCTTAAGGCAGCTTGGCTCAGCTGGAAGGCCTTTGCACAAGGGGATTTAGGAAAGCTTCAGGAGGATTTAGATAAAGGCAGGATTAGTTTGCAGGCCACTTCCTCTCTCTCTTGATTGCGGCTGGCTGGGAGTGTCTGCCCACTGGCAAGAAAGCAATGGCTCTTGGCACAGGTTTCAAGCCAGCTCCATCTGTCAACCAAATGACACATCTAGAAGACACCACATTGGTTTCCCCTGGACTAAAGCATAAACAGCTAAGGCTGGGTCTGATTCCCACCCCCAGTATAGGGCAGTAAATATGGAGGAAGGCACTTGTGGGCATTGAGGTCACCAGCATATCCCTGGATAAAGCTAGACCCCTTTGTGAGTCTGTTGCTCTAGGGCCGGGGAGTGCATTCCTGTCTAAAATAGGTTCCTGTCTAAAATAGGTTCCACCTAGATCACTATTATTATCAACCAAAAACTATCACCAACTAGTTTGGATCGATCTTTAGTTTGTTCATCACAAGTTTAGTGAACCACAAGCTTAACATGAGTCAACAGTGTGATGCAGCAACAAATAATGCTATTCTAGGCTGTGTCAACAGAAGTATATAGTGTCCCGATCAAGGGAAGTCATAGTACCACTCTATTCTGCCTTGGTCACACCACACCTGGGGTACTGTGTCTAATTCAGGGAACCACAATTTGAGAAAGATATTGACAAGCTAGAACATGTGAAGAGGAGGGTGACCAAGATGATCAAGAGTCTGGAAACCAAGCCTTATGAGGAATGATTGAGGGAGTTGAGTATGTTGAGCCTGGAAAAGAGGAGACTGAGAGGAGACAGGATAGCCATCTTCAAATATTTTAGGGGCTGTCACATGGAAGATGGAGCAAGCTTGTTTTCTCCTGCTCTGTGTGTATCTTTGTGTGTGTTAAAAATTGGAATTTTTAACATTTCTAGGTAGGGCTGAGAGTGTCCCTTGCCAAAACCCATTGAGAGTTGCTGCCAATCAGTGTAGACAGTACAGAAGGAGATAGGCCAATGGTCTAACTCTGTATAAAGCTGCTTCCTAGGTTCCTAACTTGTGCATGGATGCAATGAAGCCTTTTGGCCACGAAAACACAAATGTGAATTGCCCAGGTCACCTGCTAATGTGGTCTGGCCCAACCGAATAGACAGCCAGGGGCTCCAGCTAGCAACAGGGGAGAGTTTTGATTCAGTTCACATTTTCAAGGTAAACCTTCCAAATTTTCACTTTCTGGAGCAATATGCCAACTGAAACACAGCTGCCCTTCGAAATTCTCTAAATTTCGCAGCTAACGTAAGTCAAGGAATATGTCCAAAAATGCACATGCTGGTGCAAAGTGTGCATGGAATGCATATGCTTCTGAAAACAATATACAAAAATGTGTTGTATTAGGAAAAAATGCTTTGTAAGAATGTGAATGCATGCAGGTCTTGTGATCCGAAAATTCATTCTATGAAAGTTCACTAATCTAAACACAAGGAATTAGTACTGAAACATTGCTATACACACCACAAGTTCAGATATCCAAGCAGCCAGGCCTGCATAAAGTACTATAAACAGATAAGCAGTCTTAAACAAGCCTTCTTCTTTTTTACTGTTTTACTGGTCCTCATAAGCCGTTTCATCAGAAACAGTGTTGGGTGGGAGCAGTAGAATTTGGACAAGGTTCCAGAGGGTTTTTCTGTCCCATTCCCCCCCCCCCATTTTGAGGTCAAAGTTCCACAGTCAGGAATGCTTAGAAATTTCCCCATAGGAATCAATTGAGAATGTTGACTCATTATGTGAACGCTTGTCTAACAAACGGATTGCGTTTATTAGGCAAAAGTGCATACAAAATGTGCATTTCAGAAGAAATTTGCACTGAAATGCTAGCGAATTTTCACAAGGACTTGAAAAAAATGTTCAACTGGTATGGAAATAATAAATTTAAGAATAGGAAAATGAGAAAAAGAGAGAAAGCAACAGGGACAGATTTGCTCTTCCTGAGCGCTAGTAGATTGGGAAATATCACCAGGGGAGTCTCACAGGCTTTGGGGCAGCAGAGTCAGCAATGTGAGGGATGCTAGTGCTTTTCCTCTTCAGGGGGATCTTAGTTTGGGGGTCGCAGCTCAGTGGTCAGAGCACCTGCTTTGCATGCAGAAGGTCCCAGGTGAGGCTAGGCATCTATCTCCCTTGCCTGAAACCATGGAGAGCTACTGCCAGTCATTGCAGACAGCACTGATTCAAAGGGACCTTAATGGTCTGATTCAGTATGAAGCAACTCCTTATGCATTCCTTCCTTTGTCTTTGGGGGGGGGGTTGCTCCCTATTTCTGCCCGTGCAAACAAATGGACCAAAAGTGCACATTCTCTCATGCAGAGTCAGGAAAAGGGGTCTTGGTTGGGAATACCCTCGAGGGCAGAATATTTGTATACTGCGATTTGGATCATGGGGAGTCATTTTGAAGTGCCCCTTCATCCAACCTGCCTGTTCTCTTTTCTTGTCGGGTCAGGTGAAAGGGCTTACTCAGAGCTGTAGCTACGGGGGAGCTAGCAAGGGTTTTTGCCCAGTTGAAGCCTCCAGTGGGGTGCCATTGAGGCTCCCAGTCTCTCTCTCCCCGCCCCGTCTGTACACAAGTACGGATGGGGAGTGTGCCAAACTGGGTCTTTGACTCGGGTGAAATAAAGCCTGGTTTTGCCCCTGGTTGCTATCCAGTTGCAGCCCAGCAATTATCACTTAATAGGGTGTTACCCAATACCACCTATCCAAGATAGCAGATCCACACTTGGCCAAAGTGTTACATAAGACGTGGGAGGAGACGCTGCAGAGCACCCTGGCTGCTGTGACACCCAATGGGAGAGGTATAAAGTTGGGCACCTTTGAAGGAGACAGCATCTTCCTCTGCCCAGCTGCTTTTCTCTTGACAGCACGCAAGGAGCAAGAGGAGGCACCCGCAGGATGAGGTCCACCATGCACAGCCTTTTGATGCTCCTGCTTTGCTCATTCTGCGTTCGGGCAGACATTGCCATGCAACCAGACTTCGATCTGCAGAAGGTACTGGGCTGTAGGGAAAGGGTGCGGTCACTGCTGTGTGGAAGTTGCACCCCTTTCTTTGCTTCCAGAGCTAGCCAATTGCTCACACTTCTGCAACCAAGTGCCCTCCAGGAGTTGGTGCTGAAGGAACTCCCACCAGTCCCAGCTAGCCAGAGGCCAGTGGCAAGGGGATGATGGGAGCAGGAGTCCACCAAGTACCATCTAAATTTATACTCGATTTGTTGCTGGCCATTTTCTCTGTTGTCTTTTGATTTTATAATGCTATCTGGTTGCCAAATTTGAAAGCCTTGTCATCACCTCATGCACTTGCCAGAGTCAGCTTCCCTGACGCCGTTGTTGGTTTATTGCTGACCTACACTTCAGTCCAGCTCCTGAGATTTAATCTGGGTGTGCATTTATTCTCCTTTTTATTATGGGCTTCTTTTCCTTGGAGGGGTTCCTGTGCTCCACTCCGAGCCTTGGCACAAATAATGCAGGTTAATTGAAATGCACAGAAATGTGGGAAATGCCAGATTTGGCCTCGTCTGGATGGTGGAGTGGAGGGGTGAGACCTCTGGTCTGACTGGAATGGTTTCCTCCAGTTTTCAGGGATGTGGCACATCATGGCCGGATCGTCAAACTGCCCTGTATTCCAGGGCATGAAGAGCCTCATGACAACATCTGCTGCTCTAGTCAAACCCCTTCCAAACGGTGACATGAAAATACTTACTGGCTACCCTTTGTAAGTAACTACTGCTAGTCCCTTAGCTGGCCTTAGGAGCACTTTACATGATTAAGAATGGGGGAGGGAGGGCACATTTTGCAGGGGGGAAATATGCCCCTCCCAAATACCCCCTCCCTGTGAAACCCTTTGGAAACGCTGGGGTAGGATGAAAATGTTCCCTCTTCATTAGACCAAGCACTCTGGTTTCCCTTGGGGGGTGTTGCCATGTAGACTACAATGGATTGGTGATCCCCGATGGCTGGATCATAGAGCCAGCAAGGAGAAGCACCCTCTTTCAGAACAAATTCTCTTTGTGCCAAATTCTCATCAAAATTTGCTGGGATGGGTTTGGACCATTTCCCTATAAGGAGATATTTAATGTTCTGGCCACCCCACTCCTCCTACAAATCAACACTGAAGTGTTATAGTGTTCCAATACTAATTTAATCAGTACTTTCCTAATATTATACATACTGGAAAAGTGACCTGATGCTAATTAAAATACACAAGTGGGATGATAAAATGAAACCTGCTGCAAATGTTATAATTTATTTGTTTGTTTCATTGCATTTCTATTCCACCTTTTTCTAAGATGAGCTCATGGGGGTGTATATGCTTCTGCCTCCTCGTCTAATCCTCACAATGACCATGTGAGGTAGGTTAGGGTGAGAGGCAACAACTGGCCCCCAGTGAGAGCCCTGGTCTCTGAGGTCTTTGTGGTTGCACCAACTATTACACTATCACTGGCTCTCATAATGCAGTTTTCCTCCGTGTAGGGCTTTCTGGGTGCTTTGGACTCCAGTTCCCACCATCCCTGACCATTGGTCTTGCTGGCTGGGGCAGATGCAACATGTAGCCCCCAAAGGCCTGTGAATATGTTGGGCAGCTAAATCTTCCCCAGGTCAATATGAAGGAAGAGTCCTAGCTCAACATATTGTCAGCAACGGCAATGATGCTCCTTTCCCTGTTCTCCCCTCTGAGAAAGGGATCACGATGTCAAGTGTGCCCTTCACCCACATTAAAATATGGGCGAATGAGACAAAGCACCTCTGCTGAAAATGCCCCACGGGGAAGCAGCCTCCGTAGTCTAATAGCTCAGTTGGTAGAGCATGAGACTTTTGATCTCAGGGTTGTGAGTTTGAGCCCCACATTGGACAAAACATTCCTGCATTGCAGGGGGTTGGACTAGATAACTCTCAAGGTCCCTTCCAATATGATTCTATAATGGGGGGGGCTCAACCTCTTGCTAATATTTAAAAAAAAAAACACAGGCAGATTTTACTATCTGGGCCCAGTTGCTTAGTCACATTAAATAGGTCCTTGTAAGTGTAACTTTGCATACTTAGTGTTTTGTGAAGTTTGTGGAGGCTTTAAAGCTACTCACAATCAAATGATAGCTTAGTAGATAGAGCATGAGACTCTTAACCTCAGGGCTGTCGGTCTGAGCCCCACATTGGGCAAAACATTCCTGCATTGCAGGGGGTTGGACTTGTGGTCCCTTCCAACTGTATAATTCTGTGATTTCTAAACCCAGTGTGTGTCTTTCCCTCATTTCTCTTTTCAGCCCTGAGGAGTGCAAGAAGGTAGAGATGTACTTTAAGAAGACAGACCAGCCTGCACACTTCACAAACGACGGTAGGGCACAAGTGCTTTAGGGCGTAGAGAGAGGGGAGCAGGACTGTGCATTAAGGTTTGCCCCCGGAATTGCATTTTCCTGCCCCCCGCCCAGCCTGCCATGATTCAGATGGGGGGATGGACCAAGCAAGGGGTTTCCCAGGCACGCCCAGGGCAGGCAAAAGTCTTCATCTTGGAGGAAAGTCAGGACCATGGAGAGATCCCCTTTTCCTGAGGTCAAACAGCCATGTTGCCTCAGCAAGGTCTTAGGGCCACAGACCTTTCGAGCAGGACTAGCTAGTCATTGACTAGAGGCCTTGCTCCTTGAGGGTGAGTGAAAGAACTGTAGCTTTCTGCTGCAACCCTTGGTTCCTTTGTGGGAATAGGATTTTCAGCTGCAGGGATCTCTCCTGAGGACTCTCTTGATTTCTCATGGAGTCTGTGGACCAGCCATCAGAGTCTGGTGGCCAAGCCCTCTCCTTTATCAGTACATGATGCTCAATGGATGGCCTTGTCAGTTCTGAATTTGAGACGGGACAGCAGAGCTGGGGTTTATCTTATCTTGTAGGTTGTAAATATCCTGACACACTGACGCACAGGCTCTGCAAGACAGGGTCTGTCAGCCCCCAAGGCCGGAGATGGAGATGGCGTCAAGGAAACTCCTATAGCTCCTATAACTCCTTACCCCAAGATAAGAGTACCGGTACAGGAACATCTGTTTATTGTCATGGATGTCAACTTACGTGTATGAACGTACGAGGCTGGATTCCTGGGGAAGGAGGGAGAGGGTGCCTCGAGGGGATATATACTGTGTGAAATTTCTCTTTCTTTGGGCTTGCTGTGAACTGACCACGCAAGTGCCTTTCTGCTGCTCCGGAGAGCAGAAATAAAGAACTCTTTCTCTGAATCAACCTTGGGGTCTTTTGGCTCCTTCCTCCCTCTTTGGGAGCAATGCCCACCCAACCAATTGGTAAAGTCTAAGAAGGCTACATTTCTTGGTGCATTGGCCAGGAATGTGTTCTCCGAGGATGAGGGACGAAGGTCCGAGGCATCATCGCAGGCGACTGATAAAGGAGAGGGCTTTGTTCATACAGCTGGGTTCTTGTTATACATTGGCTCAAGTGCTCAAGTTAATGCATTTTAGCTAATGGAGAAGAAAAAATGGGGATTTTGGGGCCCGTTTCAGACTGACTGCACAGTCAGGTTTTATATTTGGGAAACCCATTCCTTCACCTTGAGGTGGTGATCTTTGTGATGCTATGTAATGCCACACGAGGGAAAGACAGAATGTATTTAGGGTGGCATGGGATAACCTCAGAGTGTGGCTTGGTGGGTGATTATCAATATTATCTGGCTCTGGAAAGATGGGAGGAAGGAAAAGTTGAAAGGACAGAAGAACAGATTCTGATCCTTCTTCCATGGCCAGAACTAATCGGGGTTCCATCTCCTCCTTCATTCAGAGAATGCCAAGAGAGATATGCGGGTGCTGGAAACCGACTACACCAACTTTGCCCTCCTCTACACCTTCAAGGAGATTGAAGATGAGCCCAGCAGCACCACCGTCCAGTTGTACAGTATGTGCTCCAATGACCCATCCTTGAGCAAGAGAGAGGAGGGTGGAGGTGGCAAGAGCCACCATCTTACTTCCTGAGCCATTGATGTCAGAGCGGTGTTGCTAAGTTGGGGCTGCTTCTTTGAATGAAGGGATTGCACAGCCTCTGATGCATCCCAGGCAAAAGCAGGGGCCCCTGACTGAATCCCCTGATCGGGACCCCTCACTGAAACTCAGGAGTTGCTTTCTTCTCTGTCTCCTTGGTGCTGTGCTGATTAACTCTGCAGCCACTTGTCTTCCATGGAGGATGTTGGCGGGTGGGTGGGTGGGGGGTTGTAGATAAAACTAGCAAACCCTCATTTCCCTACAATAGATTATAATACAGTACAGTACAGTACAGTACAGTACAGTACAGTACAGTACTAAACAGGGCCAGCACAAGGCAATTTGCTGCCTGAAGTGAAGGGTAAGATGGCACGTCTCCCCCACATATACTGGCAGCTGAATCTTATTTTAGCACTGGTGATGGGAACAGCAGAATTTCAGGGCAGGCTATGTGGCACAGCTTTCCCCTCTGATACTTCGCTGCTGCTGCTGCTACCCTCCTCCCCTCCAGCTGCCTCACATTTCATAATGGACAGGCTCCATCACCAAAATAAAAAGTAGCATCCATTTTATGACACTTTAAATTATCTGGAATCCTGGGAATTGGTGGAGGATGCAGAGGACTCGATGCCTCCCATAGAACAAGAGTCCCAGCATTCCTTGCAAGGAGGGAGAAGGTTGTTAAATGGTTTGACTGGACCACTAGTTTTAAGGTGGGACGAGACAGATGTTTTGTTATATGTACAGCAGCAGCAGCCGGCAAGAGGCACTTTATAAAGCTTAAGAGGCCAGGCCTTTGCCCCAATAAGTTTACAGTCTAAAAGTTGATGGAGGGAAGGCCATGAAAACAGAGGTGCCAAGTTGCTCCCAAGACTGAGGGGGCCCAGAGCATGTCATGTGAAAGTGGGGCAAGTGTCCAGACCATGAGGTGCAACCCCTCATTCAAACCACTTCTGAAAGCTCCTCCTCCTCCCTACCTCCAGCCTCAGCCCACAGACTGGAACCCCCTTAGGGTGTTCCCTCCACATGGTAGCCTCTCAAGATTCTACCCTGCCCTGCCCACAAACTGGAGGTTGGTGAAGTTATTGCTCACCACCTCAAACAGAGTCTAATTCTGACCTCCTCTGGATGCAGCCCGCACTCAAGACATCAGCAATGAAGTGCTGGAGAAGTTCAAGGAGCATTACCACAAGGTGGGGCTCACAGATGACCTGATGGTAATCCTCCCCAAGTCTGGTGAGTACAGCATTTGTGATTTGTTTTCCTTTCAGCCTGTCTGGTTTAGCATGGTGCTGGTACTCACCATGAAGTTGCTACAGTAATCTCACACTTTTAACATTTGGGAAAAAAAGGTACCAGTGCTGCATACCTTTGAGTGCCCCCAGAAAAAAAACATTGCTCATTGCGAGGATAACACTGATTCCCACAAATTGATCCAGAGGTTGGGTTATGAGTGAAATGGCAGCAAAGGAATGGGCCAGGTGAGATTTTCCAAGCTAGCATATCCATTGGGTATAAGCCATACCACCAGACATATTTTTTAAAAAAACAAAAACAAAAAGACAACCTACTTGTTTTGCCTAGTGGGAGTCAATCCTGACCATTAAGGCCTCCCATGCTTGCTTGACAACTGGATTTCCTAAAGTCACACCTCTGTGTTCTAATATTCATGAACTTCTTTCCCTTTTTTGCATTGCAGATGTTTGCTACAAGCTCCTCAGGTGAGTGATAGGTCTGGCAAAAGAGGGGGTGTTTGCTACATCTGGAAAACTGGAAGCTGGAGGGTAGAGAGTTACTCCCCCCTTTGGTGAGGTAGTAATGGGCAGCCAGTGTCCAATGGTGGTTTAGACTACCTGGAATCAAGCTATCTGGGTGCAGAGAGACAGGACAACACTCAGATACCAGGCACTGGAGGCTCTCGTGGTCTGTTGCGGGGATGGGAAACATCAGCAGCTGCCTACATGCAGTTGGGCTACAACTCCCATCAGCCTCAGCAAACATGATCAATGGCCAGGGATGATGGCAATGAGCATCAAAGACCAAGAAACCTCAGGAGAGTTTCCCACTCCTGTTTGCAGCCAATCCTTTTTCCTGGGCACAAAGTGACTGTCATTCAACAATCATGTGGAAGCCCAAGGAATCCTCAGACAAGTCCAGAAGCTTGTTTACAGGCAGATGTGGGCTTTTCTCTTCCAAGGTTGTCAAGGGGAGGGAGGTGAGGAGTGCATCCATGTGTGGGAGCAATGGCAAACCAAGCCCCACAAGAAGGGCCTGCCAACAGCTGCCCCAAGGAAACAGGGCCCTGCATTTTGCTGGCATCACACCAGGGCAAGTGTGGGGAAGCCTTGGCCATGCTGGATGGGGATGATGGGTGTTGTGGTTCAGGAGCTGCATCTGGAAGTCCAAACATTGACCAGCCCTGCTGCAGGGCTTTTCTGAGCAGATCTGCCATCTGTTGGTTGCTGTGAAGAAGGTTTGTGAATGGACAACCCAAGAAGAAAAAGAGGAAGAGGTAGTAGTTAGGACAAAATTTTGATACCGTGCCAGTTGCACAGTTCAATACTTTTTCCACATACCATCCTGCCTTTTGTTTTGCAGTGCCTGAAGAGGACCCAATTCATCAGCGGCCAAGGCTTAACCTCCACCCCACTGCAGAAGTCCGGCTGATTCAGAAATTGTTGCTGTTGATCAGATCTCTCGCTCCCTTCTCCCACTACAAGCGTTCCCCACTCTGCAATCTGACCTCTGCTTCATCCACACCCCACCCATTCCTGCTGAATAAACAGCTTTACAAGGTGGATTCTTTTTTAGCAATGTGTTTCTTTGAGATAGGCTGTTTTTAGCAAGGATGGTGAGGTCTATTGCAGATATTAATATTGCACAGTTTGAAGCGACTGGATGCATGAAAACTGAAAACTTTACTTGCAGAACTTTCTTCAAAACATGACAAAAAGCAGAAAATGATACATCCAAACAGTTCCACAAGACATGTGCCAGTCCAAAGCATAGGCTCAGCATTTTGGAAAATATGAAATGCCCCAAACACACCTATAAGCCTTCTTACTTCCACAGAGCCTGCGAACAAAAAACGGCTGCTCCCTTCTCATGTGAGCTAAGGTTAAACACTCACGCGTTAGCTAGCAGAAAACAACAATAGTTAATGATCAACTCAGTTAAAACTCAGTCTCCCTTAGAATACTGCAGTGGAATTTCTCCATGTTAAACTTTTTCAGCAAAACTCATTTAGCCATTTAGCCATTTCAGTGTCAATTAAACAATTATACTAACAAGGTCCCTAGACCATTGTGTAACAGACAGTGGGCATTTAACTTTCCAGACTCAAAGTATGTCTTCTGGCAGCCATGAGGGAGCATACAATCCATTTGTACTGTCCTGTTATTAACCCCCATACTATGGGAATATAGTTTAAACGTACCAGAACATCTGAAAATATCAAAAATATTAATTTGGACAACAACTTCAGACCAAAAGCAATATATCAGTGGGCATACATGTACTACATGCTTCAATGAGGCCCTTGCAGCATCACAACCCCAGCATCTACCTGCCTGAGATGATGGCTTCCTGTACACCCATTTCGGTGGACCAATCTGCATTTCAAATCCTTTCTGTATAGATCCTCAAGTGATTTCCCATTGTTAAGGTTGTATAGAACATTTTAATTTCCTATTCCACAACTCTCTACATTTTTAAACATCTGCTTTACAGAAATCCAAAGAGCATTTATAAACAGCAGTTATAGATGTAGCTTTCTGAGAAGTTCTGGAAAGTCCCTCCAACAATTTAGGAGATGCCAAAGTGCTCAAAGCAGACACCAGCAGATGTTGCCTTTGTAGATATTGCCATTCAGCATTCGCTGGTAAATGATATTTAAACCTCAATGTAGGAAATGACCAAAATTCTCCACCTGAACCTATCTGCTGATCTAATATATACCTAAATCCCACATATCAACCCACTTTTTTCCAGAACAGAGACTGACTTTCCATCTTCAAATCTGTATTGCCCCATCAAATTAATCTGCCATGAGCATATGGTCCAAATTATAACTGATGAGACAATACATGCCATGTCTTTGCAGTTGCTAAAATTGTAGGTGGGATAAGGTGGTATTTCTCTTTTTCCCAAAGCTACCCATCGTAAGAGAAGTGCTAAGAAGTCTTCTCTAAAAATACCCATGCTGAGGTAGTCATAGAATAGTAAGGATTCAAAGGATGGCTGTCTCTCTGTTCCTGTACTTTTTCTGGAAGGATGGATGTGGTATGTTTCTCATTCATTGTGAGCTGAAGGTGATTTTCCCTCAGGGAGACCTCAGTTCTGCAACCCTGGTAGGTGCTGATCTTGTTATGGACACCACACACCCCACAACCCTGGGACTTTCATTCACCCAAATGCACAGAGACTGATCTCTCACCCCCTGTCTCCTAGCCACTTCCTCACTTTCCTGCCTTGCAGATCCTCCTATACACCCTCCCCTGCAGCTCTGAGGACCCCCACTTTGCACAAATGCACAAAGACTGGGCTAGGTGCTCACCAGATTCGAGAAGATGTTAGCGTACAGTGTTCAGGAGGGAAAGAAGCCAGCCAGGAGCCTGGCTGGATAAGACTTGTTGAATTTATTTGTGATGCAAAGCCATGGAAAGGACTTTGGGGGTGGAGTGGGGGAGAAAATAATAATTCCTCTGCAGCATGATTCCTCCTTCCCACATTCCTCTCCTCTCCTCTTCTCTCTGGGATGGAGCTGTGCACTTGGGAGATGCTCCCCGCAACAGGGAGGGGAGGAAAGAGTTGCTGCTGTCACCACCACCGTTCAGCTGGTGCCTTTGGAGAGGCAGCCAGACCACTTCGCTCAGTGGGCTGCATTCACAGCTGCCTCTTTTGTGGGGCTGAAATGAAGATTCTGGCTTCTCCTTCCTCAGCAGTCTGGGCTGGAGGGTGGGTCACTCCAGCTGTAGCCAAGGCTCAGAAGTGGGGAAGCATCCCTCACCCAACCTGCACCCTTAATTTTTTTGCACCCAGGGCAACTGCCCCGATGGCCCCTACCATGCTATGTCCCTGCCTCCTATAGCCTACAGTGGACTGACACCAGCCTTCCATGTTATTCTCTTTCTTTCAATTATTACAGTTCCACTTACTACAATTAACTATACTGGTGGCACAGTAAAATTGAATGGTTAGCATTAGCATCAATGCCTGGAAGGTTTTGTTCCAAAACTGTTATTATATGGTCTCAGACCATTAGCCTAATTGCCCTGTATAAAAGGGTGTTGTAAGTACAGTATGTGGACAGAGAAGGAGCATCCTACACAGCCAGAAGTGCTAGACAGAGACAAGTGCCAGAGTGAGAGAGAGAAGGCAGGGAAATGTTGGGCATACGGTATTTTTGATTGCTCTCCTGATGGGTCTTTTGATTCTGTACTTCCTGAAACAGCTCTGGTGGTCACGCAGACGCTTCCCTCCAGGACCCCTTCCACTTCCTGCCATTGGAAGCATGTGGCGGACTGCGATCAGGCTCTATCAAGAGACATTCGCTAAAGTACTTCTTTCTAAATAACTGGCTGAGAAGGAGAATTCATGAAGCGAAGCATGAATTATTTTCTTCTCGTGGTAACTGTGGATAACTATGGTCTTTGTGAAACCTTCTGGCATGAATTTTATAGGAGAAATCAGTATGTGATATCTAGGAGACTTGGGGTCCAATCTCCTGGGAGGTGGGGGGTGTTGAAAGGCAGTTTAAGCACTCGTGTTATTTTCACACCAACCCTGTGGTTGGGCTGAGAGCTAGAGGTCACTCAGGTCACTCAGTGAGCTCTGGGGCAGAATTGCATTTCTGCTTCTCCCCAATCCCAGTCCAACATTCTGACCACTGGAAAGTCATCAAAGAAAAGCATCTCCCCAGGCCTGGGTACTCTAATAGTTCTAACTTGAAATACATTTTGAAAGTGCCCAACCCAGGGAATAAATATCCTAGTATTTCTCACAAGTATATAGGCGGTCCACTCAGGAACTGTCTTCTTGTTAGCATCTCTGGGTTACAGAAAGATCTCTGAAATGTCCTCAGAGGCCAGTGCACTCACACACACTTGTGGGCAGAATGAAGATTCAGAGACAGAAAATCTGATAGCTTAGTTCAGACTGGAGAATAAATAGGCTTCTTCTTTTTTCAGCTGCCCAGATAAAAAGTGAAATGTGCAAATACTTTAAAATCTGATTCACAATATGAATGACCAATGCCAAATGGGCAAACCCCCTCTTGCTCAAAAAAGTTAAAGGGTCAGGAAAGGTTAGCCATGGAGGCATGCCAGGATTGAAACATGAGGTTGTACAATGAGAGTGGCTCAGAAAACTTTACAGAAGCAGGAAGAAAAAAGCCAAGCACTTTATCAGGAACTAGTGATCAGTGTGTCTGTTTCAGTTCAGAAGCATAACATCCAGTGGAGCCACAACTTACACTCTTTGCAATGATGTGTTCCCTTTTAACTTCCAGCTAGGAGGTTTACAAGCTCATAAACACTGATTCATCTATCTGTTTAAAATGTTGTTGCACCAGCATTCCTCAAGCAGTTAGTAGCAGTTGGCTCCAAGGGTGGATGGACTACAAGTTAGTGAAGTTATCAGGCACCCCATCTAAAACATACCACAAAGCTAGCTGAAGCATTTAATATGCTCCATAAGTAATATGCTTCAAAGTAGGTGGAACAAAACCAAGAGCACATGCATCTCTGGGTGCCGTCCTGTCTCTTTGCAACATCACTTTTTGGTGTGGCTGCATAAGGAGCTTACAGATGGGCTGAGATCTAAGATGGGCATGTACAGGGAACCCCTGACTTCTGCAGGGGTTGCGGTCTGGGTCCTTGCATTCAACAGTGGAGCACACGTAAGTCCTATTAAGCATAATTATTTAATTGACACTAAAATGGGGAATGCCTGTGTGTAATTGAAACGGACATGGGGGATATTTCACTGGAGTATTCCTGTAGGGACTGGGCAGAGGAGGAATGGTGGAGACCGCCTCCCCATGCTGACCCTTCCAGAGAGAAGGAAGAGGAAGACAGTATAGATTTACAACAGGGGGTTGAGGGAGGTCGCAGCTCAGAGGCAGATGAGGGGGAAAGCTGGGAAATCATGGGAGAGCCAGAACAATACCCAGCTGATATGTTGTCATTAGAATGCATTCCAGACCCTCCATTTCCCAGAACCCGGTGAGCCTTAAAAAGCAGAAGAGCAAAGAGGTCAAAGACAGAGGGCACGGAGCAGCCCATGTAGAGGAGACCATGAGAATGACGAATGAGGGAGTGGGCGAGACAGGGAGAGGGGGTGGAGATTCACTTGGGACAACATCATTATCCAAGAGGATGGGTTCTATAGCCTCTCTCTGTAAAGACTGAAATCAAGAAGAATGCTAAGAGACCTTTCCTTGTCTTTATACTTTCCTGGGCAACTACTGGGAGCCACTAACAGCATCCTGACAATACCAAGTTAGAAACAGATCTCCTTGAGTGCCTAGAATAGTTGATTCAGGTAGGCATCTGGGTTTATTGCAGGATCTGGTACCAGTGTCCATGTTAAGTCTGGTTGCTGTATTATTGTGGGTGAGGAGATGTTTAAGATTGGGTGGCTGTCTGTAGGCAATGAAAGGTCTTCCTCCCAGGAGCTTGAGAAAGAGAACTGTTGTTGTCTAGGAGAGGTTGTAAATCTCTGATGATGCACTGAACTATTTTAACTTGGGAACTGTATGTGATTACTAGTAGTGTTCTGTTATTTTCTCTTTTGGGTCTGTCTTGCAGCAAGTTCTCTCTGGGTATCAGTCTGTTTGTTGATCTGTTGTTTAACTTCATCAGGTGGGTATTTTAGTTCCAAAAAGGTTTGCTGTAGATCTCTTAGGTGAGAAACCCTGTCTGTAGAATTGGAACAGACGCGGCTGTAACATAGAGCCTGGCTATGTAGAATTGATTGCTTGGTATGTTTGCTATGGTAGCTGAAAGCATGTAGATATGTTTGTCGGTCAGTTGGTTTTCGGTATAAGGTGGTGTCTATGCATCCATCCTGTATTTTTATAGTAGTGTCCAGAAAATGTATTCCTTGCATAGATTGGTTCATTGTTAGGTTGATGGTGGGGTGAAAGTTATTGAATGACTGGTGGAAGGTGTCCAGGGCCTGCTGAGCATGTGTCCAGATAATAAAAATATTGTCAGTGTATTGCAGGTGCAAGAGAGGTAGAATAGTTTATTAACTATTGTTTTTGTTAATTTATTCATCTACTTTAAATATATACTCTTATGAAACTGCAGGTTATTACAATGTTCCGATCTGTTTACCATTTGTCTGTAAATATTCAATGAACCATTTCCATTCTTTTATAAAAAGTTTGTTATCTTGATTTCTTATTTTTCTGGTAAGTTTTGCCATTTCTGCATATTTTATAAGCTTTTGAATCCATTCTTCTTCTGCTGGAACTTCTGCTTCTTTCCATTTGGGGGCATTCTTGCTGCTGTAGTAGCATACATGAATAAGTTGATGTACAATTTGGGAAGTTATGTCCTTCTAATTCCCAAAAGCTTCTGGGGGTTGTTTTTTTTAACAAATGTTATTACAAACATCTTTTTCAATTCATTATATATCATTTCCCTGTAAATTTTAACCTTACTACAAGACCACCACATTTGATGAAAAGAACCTTCTTTCTCTTCCAACACTTATTTAATTTAGATTTATACATTTTTGCCAATGTACTTGTTGTCAGATTCCATCGATATATCCTTTTCATATAATTTTCTCTAAGACCATAACATGCTGTAAACATCAGGAAGAACTTTCTGACAGAAAGATCTGTTTGTTAGTGGAATGGACTCCCTCAGGAGGTTGTGGACTCTCATTCATTGGAAGCTTTAAAGCAGAGGTTGGATGGCCACCTGTCATGGATGCTTTAGCTGAGATTCCTGCACTGCAGGGGGTTGGACCAGATGACCTTCAGAGTCCCTTCCAGCACTACAGTTCTTTGGTTCTATGATCAGTATGGAGGGGGTTTTAAGGGGGTGGCCGAATCAGGAGAGAAAAGGCAGTGCAGAAAGAGGAGTGATCTGTGTGTAGGAGAGAGTTGAGGAAAGTGACAAGGAGGGTGGAGGAAAAAAGGGAGTAAGAGTAAGAATGGGGATGCAAAGTAAGTTGCAAAAAGGAGGGAGTAGGAGGCTTGGGGATAGGGTTGAAGATTAAAGCAGGGGCATGAAAGGGCATGAAAAACAGGAGATGGGATGAAGGTGATAATGGGTGCAAAGCAGAGCTGCAAAAAGAAGAGACCTCAGCAGTTGCATGAGATGGGAAGGGGAAGCTCTAGGGGGTTAATGTGTCAGGAATGGCAAAGAGTTTGGCAAGTGGAGGAAGCATGAGTGCAGCCTCCTGTAACTTTCCTATTGTATTACGTCTTGCAGCGGGGAAAAGCACAGAGTTTATAAGGATGGGGATGTGCTGTACCCCCTGGTATAGACTCCATATTGACTTCTTTAACTCCTTCTGGCAGCTGGAAGCGGAACATTCTCAGCAGGCTGGTGAGTAGGATGAAAATTTCGGTCTTTGCCAGCTGCATTCCCAAACACATGCGAGACCCTGCGGAGGAGACAAGGGGAAAGCAGCAAGTGAGCAATAATTTACTTTCCAGTGTCCATTTCTTTGTACTCTACACAATACTATGGTGAACTAGACATAGTTAGGACTGGGAAATAATCAAGGCTGTTGTCAATTCCCTAGCCTGCTGAGTGCCAACATTTCATAGTTGATTATGAGAGGCAAACTTTGGTCAACTGCCCTGAGCAATAGCAGGATAAGTCACAAACCCAGATTGAAAGAAACTGAAAGAGATAGGAGGAGAGGGAGGAGAGGTTTCTTTGTTTATTTGGTGCTGACACAAAGAGAGCTGCAAGGCTTTTAAAAAAAATACTCAACTGCCTCTGCACAATCCCCAAGGGTGATGTTCTATGAGCTTAATAATCTTCTTAATAATCTTCTTCTTAACCTTGCATTGTGCAAGAAGGTCCAGCACAGGGCTAATCATTTTTTTTTATTTAAAAAAGAAATCATAGTACTCTGTATTCGCTCTTCCCTCCCTCCCACCCAACAACATAAAATTTGGAAGGGTATATTGCTGGTGGGCAGGGACAATAAGGAAAGCGCCATATAATATCTGCAAGTTTAATATTCCAAGGGCAGCTCATAGAATGTCTAGTTGTAGGGTCACAGCTAACCAGGCTGAGATAAAGTCTCTGCCTGAGAGCTGCTGTCAGCCAGAGGTGACACTATAAGACTCAGTAAAAGAACTCTTTGATGTCTTATGGAAAAAGTAGAAAACTCATTATCTCTAAGATGAATTAGGCACTTTAATTTGCCTTTCAACTGTTTCATCATCATAGTCTTAGAATATGATGGGAGTCTAAGTGTAATATGAGAATTATGGCTCAACAAAACCCAGCATTAACAATGCAGTTGAGTCAAAATAAAAAAATTCCTTCC